ACCTTTTTTCTTTTATAAATATATTATTGATTTGTATTGTTATCATTTTAGGCTTATCTTTAAGTATTACCTCTGACTCATCTTCTCAGACACCAGACCATTTATCCTATTCTACACCTAGGAAAGTTGTTTTAAGAACACAATTGAAAGAAGCGAAGGAAAAAATTAARAGTTTAGAAAAAACTGTGGCAAATTTAAGTAATGTATTAGCTGAAAATGATTCTACAGATATTTTTTTAAAGCAATGTCAAAAATTTTTATCTCCTTCTTTACTTTTGATTGTTAGGTCTCATTTAATGTGTAAATCTAGGAAAAAACCAGGTTATAGATATTCAAAATCACTAAAACAGTTTGCTTTAGCAATTTATTTTTTAGGTCCTAGAGTGTATAACTTTATRAAAACAACTTTATCATTACCTAGTACAGTTACACTTAAGAGAGCTACCTCAAAATTTGAAATGCAACCAGGTTTTAATGATTTCCTGTTTTCTTTTATAAACTTTAAAACCAAAAATTATTCTGCAGAAGCATTACAGTGCATACTTTGTGCGGACGAAATGTCTATAAAAAGTCATTTATACTATTTGATAAAAAAAGATGAAATTATGGGATTCAATATAACGAACTGTCGCAAGACATATGAACCTGCAAAGTATGCACTGGTATTAATGTTTAGGTGTATTAATGTGAGTTGGAAGTTGCCTATAGCTTATTATTTAGTTTCAAGTACTTGTACTGGGTATGATTTACAAGACATAATTTTTACAGCATTAATAAGACTACAAAGTACACCATTAGATGTTAAAGCTTTCATTACAGACATGGGATCAAATTTTGTAGGCTTAAGTAATAATCTTAATATTACTCCTTCTCGTCCATATTTTGAAATCAATAATAAAAATTTTTTTTATATTTTTGATACATCACACCTTTTAAAATCTACTAGAAATATGTTTTTTAAGCATTCATTCAAAGTAGACCAAAATATTATTGACTAAAAATATGTCGTGTTATTTTATAAGGAAGATAGTAATTGTAACTTAAGAGGACGCCACACCCGCATGTGTTGTCTCCGTCGTACAAGTGCATAGCATAGACTGCTGTGAGGGGGTATAGCGGGTTAATCTTGCTTGTCCCTACTTACAATGCATTGTTTTGTAAAGTCATAACAGGATTGGGGCATTCGCATATATACCAGGTTACTGAGGAATGAGTATCTCAAAACTGTTATGACTACTTCTACTTGTATAAATTTATGA